AAAATTATACTAGAATTCTAGAATAAATTATACTAGAATTGAATTTAAAATCAAATTAAACTAATAAAATTTACTAAAATTCTAATAAAAACTATATTAAAAACACTATAAAATTAACACCTATCAGGAGTCCACGTTGACATGCTAATGGATTTCCTATTTTGTTCTGTGGAGTCCACAAACCACAGCTAAATAAGCTACAATCTTGTATTCTTTCCACTAATAACCTATGAAACTACCCAATTTGATATCAATTTAAGTATAAATAAAAAGATGTTAATCCCACGCTTAGAGCTTGTTTGATTCAAACGGTTTATACCAGTTAACATTTGGTATAGGGTGATGGTTGATAGGGATTAGCTGATACTATTTATGTTTGATAAAATTTTAGCCGCGATTGCTGTTAAAATATAAAATGATCATTAAGGGCATAATTATATTTATATATATATATATATAATATAATAATATATACTATAGTAGTATATTATATATATATATATATCATCCGCAGTTGTAATGGTGAAGTATATTATTTTTTTTTATGAGATGTTATTATTAGTATATAAGTAAAAATATCTTAATTAAATCTTCGTAAAATAATATCTTAAGAGAAAACTGTTTCTAAATTTATAGAAAGTGGACTATGGGAGTAAGAATGAGTGTCGAATAAGATAGAGTTATTAATGTTGGAAAAAAATAAAATTCTTACGTTAGCAATTATGATTTTTATGGAGGTAAGTGAAATCCAAAATAATAAAATGGAAGGGTCAAATCGCAGTGCTTGCAAGGGTTAATACAAACGAGGAAATAAATGCTTGCGCTCCACGAACGTCGATGAGTAGTTGGAGTAGAAGCACGTGAATGCGTGGACGCTGATTTAGTGAGTCATTGCTATATAACATAGGCAGTAAAGAGCAGGGAGAACGATCCTAGGCTCTTGAGGGAGTGAGCAGGACAAGATGTACACTCATCTCACAATTGTCGAGTGATGTTATGAGTGTAAGTGATTATTTATGCGTGTGTGACTGCGCGACAAATGTTAGTAGAGCAGAAAATGTAGAGGAGATTATGTTGTTAATCGACAGTAATGATATCGTACAGTTCCATGCCGAAGAATATACATGACTTTGTTTTGTGTGTATTCATTTATTTGTCTTAGATATGTCATATAAAAAAAGAAAAGAAAAAGAAAACTAAACTATATTAAATAAGCAAAAAAACTATATTTTATTTGAAAATAAGAAAAGGAATATAAGGAAAAAATAATTCTCCTGGTAGTTTTTCCTTCTCCAAATTAGAAGGAAAATAAAAAAAAACTATAAAAATAAATTTGTAAAGAAAAATTAAATTTTATTTTCTTTTATATCCAAAAAAAAAAAAAAAACAAGTATCATAAGTTTTTTGTGAAAAATATTTTAGTTACTTCTTATTTTTTTTCTTAAATTTAGTTCCAAAAAAAATCAATATTCAACGAATTGGCCAGGCCTAATTTATTTATATCTACATATAATCTATCTATACTCTATATAAAAGTGGGAATGAGATGGGAATAATGAGATTTCTTATATTCTCCTTGTAGAATTTAAGATATTCTAAAATAACTTTAGTGACAGCAAATTAAAAAATTTTAACATAAAAATATATATTATATCTCTATAATTTGATTGGTTGATTGGATGTTTTCTTAACTTTTTTTAAATAGACAAATACATATAGATAGTTAAAGCATTTGAAAATTTAAAAATTTTTACCGTATTGGTTTATCTGATTACGTCTAATTATGTTTTGATTTCATTATATTATTATATAAATTAATTAATAAATAATTAAAATAATTTTAAATAATTATTTATTATTATTATTTATTATTTTATTTTTACTTACTATTACTGTAATTTATCTTAACAATATTGTTTCAAATGAATATGTGTAAATATGAGAATTTGAAATTTTATTTTTTTGAATTTATTTTAAATAAATATATCTAGATAATTAAGATTTTCAGTTAAAAAAGGTATTGTTAAATTTCTTTAATTACAAATTGCACATTAATTTGGTTGGCCAGAAAATAAGATAAAAAATTATTAGATTAGTTTCTTATTCCATTGTTAAGGTATATTTATTTACTAAAAGAAATTACAGTGAAATTTATTAACAAAATATGTAAATTAATTATAAAACATAAAATAAAAGCTATATGATGCTTTTTATAAATCAATTTGGTACTTAAATAAAAAATAAAAGCAACTAGCATATAATAAAAATTATATGAATCAATATGTTGAAAAGAATATAAATGACATATTTCATATTTAAATTGCTATTTTAAAGGGAGAAACAAATATATCAATTTTTTTTAATGACATGTTATAGTGCAGGATATATAATTAAAAAGAATATTTTACCGTATATATAAAAATACTATTTTTATTGCAATCTAAATAAGAGTTTATACTTTAATTATATAAATAAAAATGCTAAACGGGTATCAAAAATGAGTATATAACAAGTATAGTCAACGTGCATCGCACGTCATAAAAAGAACTAGTAATATATAAAATGAGCATATAAATAAAAACGCTAAACGAGTATAAAAAAATGAGCATATAATAAGTATAGTCAAAGTAATAAAAAAAAAATGAAGCATATAATAAGTCGTCATAAAAAGAACTAGTAATATATAAAATGAGCATATAAATAAAAACGCTAAACGAGTATAAAAAAATGAGCATATAATAAGTATAGTCAACGTACATCATACGTCATAAAAAGAACAAGTAATATATAAAAGCAGAGAGGTCTATCTTAAATGATAGCCAAATATAAGTCTCTCAAATTGACAAGTGTAAGGAGAGCAGTTATTTAGTATAATTGTTAGAAGATAAGTTGTAATGACAACAATTGTAAAAAAATAAGTTATTTTATATTTTCAGATAATGTCTTTATCATGATAATATTTATTAGTTACATCCCATCGAAATAATACTATTAAATTAAATTAAAATATAAATAACCCGAGCCATAAAATAAAAAATATTTAATTTCTTATTTTAATAATTATCTTGGTGTATGAGGTAATCTTATATATCAAGAGCTAGGTTGCACGGATACGGCACACGAGATATGGAATGTACGAGATGTATGATAATAAATAAACAATCATGTATGATAAATAATAAACATGAAATAAAAATATGTAATTTTTTTATTTTAATATAATTAGTTTAAATTAAAATTAAATTAAAATACATATAACTCAAGCTATAAAAGAAAAAAGTACTTAGATCTTATTTTAATGATTACCTTAATGTATGAGGTAGTGTTATATACCAGGAGGTAGAGTGCACAAATACGAGATATGACATACGGGATATGATAATAAATAAACAATCAATTATAATAAATAATAAACATAAAATAAAAAATACTCAATTTCTTATTTCAATCTAATTAGTTAAATTCTTATTTCAATATTTTAAGGTCATTGAATATGATTAATTTATGGTATTCTGAAATTTTTATCAGTTTGTGATACTAATAAATTCTTATTTTTTCTTCTAAATGACAACCGAAAGGATGTCATTTCTTTGAGTGGCACAACAAGAAGATGAGTGAGGGTTGTGAATGTCATAAATGATTTGAAGGCAAATTTTTTCACTGTCAATGAAGGCAATGCACATTCCTGTCAATTGATAAGGGATAGATATGATATTCGTGCACAAGAAATGGAGGCTGAGTTGTAAGCTGTGTTATGTGATTTTTCATCTTCTCTTCCTCTTTCATCTTCTCTTCCTCTTTCAACAATTCTTTTTTTCAAAAACACTCTAATGTCTTTATGCATAGTTATAAAATTTTTAGTCCTATAACCCAATATATTACCATTAAATGATTCACACATGTTGTTGTCTACACAATCTGATTTGCTTTCAGTTATGAAATAAACCCTACACCACTAAGGAGGAGGGTAGTTTAGCAAGTCGACAACACTGCCAGGGGCCAAAACTTTAAGAACCTTCAATTGATCTTCAAATTCTTACCAATAAGTACTTTTAGAGCGTATCCAAAACTGTCTCCTCAGTTTACTCCCCTTCCACTTCCTTTGCCATCTGTTGAATATGTGCATTGCACACCATTTGTGCTTTGCATTTGGTAGTTGTGTCTTCACACCATCAATTAGTCCCTATGAATTATATAAACAATGAGTAAATGTCATTTCCCATAATTATTTAAATGTTTAAAGAAAGTTATACCTTTTGCATGTCTGATAAATCTCTACAATCTTCAATTTTAAGATCTTGTTTTACTTGATTCAAGAATCAGTTTTAAGTTGCAGTGTTTTCTACTCTCATAATAGGCCAAGCAATGGGGTACTGTTATTCATTACCATCCTTACCAACAGTTGTTAGCAACTCCCCCTTATAGTTAGTTTTTTAAGAAGCACCCATCAACTCCTATAATTGACCTACACCCTGCCTTCCAAACCCTCTTAAGTGCATCAAAACACACATAAAATTCCTCGAATTTCCTTGTTTCCCTATTTGAATATACCAATATTGTACTGCCAGGTTTGCTTAACCTAAGCTCTTCTGCATAGTCCTCCAACATTGCATATTCTTATTTGAAGTCACCTTTAAATTCCACTTTCAAATTCTTCTTAACCCTCCTTGCCATACTGTAGGAAATATGAACTCTAAGAGTATTCGTTACATTCTCCATCATATCCTTCAATTTTGTCTTTGGATTCAGCCGAAGCATCTCTCTAAAATGACCCACTAGGAATTTAGTGGTAACCCTCTTGTTCACATAAGTCCTAAAACATTTATGCTTGTGATTGTATGTTTTGACAAATATACCTTTGAGTTACCATCCTTAGAGGCAAACATTTTCCAATGACATCCATCAAATGTGCAAGTAGCCCTCACTCTATCCTTCTCATTTCCACCAAAATCAACCTCAACTCCTCTTATTACAGCATATTTGGTACAAGGCTCTTTAAACTATGTAGCATTCTTGAACACCATTCTAACAGCAAAAGCAGGAAATTGGCAATTTGGATTATATTCCACCCTCTTTTTTGGTTTCCTTCTCAAGTTCCTATGTCCCTCATCTCCTAACAGCTCTTCTACCTCACCTTCATCGTTAGAATCGTCTCCCTCACCCACATTCCCTTGCCACCATTCATTAGCTGAAACTTCACTAACATGCCTATCATCTGCTGCTTCACCCTCATCTACATTTTGCTCTTCACCCTCATCCTCATTTTGCTCTTCACCCTCCTCTTCATCGCCAATGCTATCTTTATCATCAGTTGAACCTCTATCTGAAAAAAAATTTTTGACTCTTTCCCTTGCACTATGTAGTTCTTCATTTCCAGATTGATAGTTAGGATCGACTTCAATACCTTCATACTCACCATCCTCAGTTTTATTACCAATAATGCTTCTCTTGGTACCAACTTCAGAGGCTGGACTACTATTTCTATTGTTGGATTCAACTTTTATTTCATTATTACTTCCAATCACATTCTCATTAGATTGAGCCTCGGGATTGTTACTTCCAACCTCAGTTTCAAAGACACTAGGAGCTTCACCAACATCAAACTCTGTCTCTTGAAAGCCTACCCCATCTTCATTTGAAACATTATCTCCACCAATATCATATGACATGCTAATCACAAATAAAAAAAGAATATATAAGAGGGTTTCACATGCAAAATATTGAGTGTAATAGAAAAATCGATTTCCCAATACTGTTATATAAATCTCATTCTTTTCTCCATTCAATGCAACAACCACAGAATCAACCATTCTAAGCTTTTTATGTAAATATAAGTGAATGAATGTTATCTGGAGAGGAGTGATACAATTGATAGAGAACACAACTTCAATCAGTTCTAGGTTTTTGAAATTTCTCGATTCCTACTGAAACCTAGCCAAATAGCCCCAAAATAGAGTTTGTTATGAGAGATTCTAGTGTGATTTTCCCTCCTAAATGTTATTGAGGGAGATCAACAATTGCCCTCGCTAACTTTCGGCTCCCAAATTGCAATTCCAAATGCTTCTTGTTCTGTGTCTCTCACGCGCGATGACCCAGGTGGAGAAAGGGTATTTTTATTAAAAATCCCAAGTTCATGAGGTTTTAGCCAAAAAGGTGTTTTGTGTGCATTTTGAATATTCATGCCAAGTTGAGGGGGCAAATTGAGCTTTTTTCCTTTATTGTTTTTCTTTTCTTTTTTGTTTTTATGGTGATGGTGGGAGTGGTTAATCAGGGTTAGCAATTTTTGTGATGATGGCGCTCAGATTGACACATCATTATTTGCCACGTCAACATTTATATACATATCATCATTTTTTTTTCCATCGTTGCACAACTAGACAAATTCTATTTGTATTTCCGGCCTGCCACGTAAGCATGTGACACTTGATTGAAAAATTATAATATTCAAGCCCTTGATTAAAAATATTTTCTGTTGAGACACTGAAATAGAATTTTTTTTTAAGAGTTTATACACCAAATTTATAATTAACCCTAAAAAAACCTTGGTTGATTAAGTTGGTGTATAAAGTAGTTTCATATACCAGAAGCTAAGTTGTACGGAAACGGGACATGAGATATGGAAATGTACAGGGATACAATAATTTTTTAAAAAATAGGACATTCACACGCTTAAGACACACTAAACTAAATAAGTACAATACATTAATATTTCAAATAAATAAACAATCATTTATAATAAATCATAAACATAAAATTAAAAAAATACATAATTACTTATTTCAATATAATTAGTTAAATTTTCAATTAAACTGATTAATTTGCAGATTAAAGCTAACCTCCTCCCATTTCAATTTATTTATCGTAGTTTTCATTAAAAAAAATCTCTATTTAATGGGAAATAATTCTAGAGTATGACAAAGACGAATGACTTACCAAGACTATTCAAATATATTTTTAGTTATAATGAGAGTATTTCTGATCATTTATTAATAAAAAAAGACATAAAAACAAATTTAAAAGAATAATTCATTTTTCTTAGTAATAAAAAAAAAACCTTGATTGATTATCTTGGTGTATGAAGTAGTCTCATATACCAGGAGTTAAATTGCATAAACACGAGACACAAGATATTAGAACGTATAAAATACGATAATTTTTAAATATGTAGGACATCCACACTCCAGGACACACTACACTAAATAAGTGTAATACATTAATATTTCAAAAAATAAACAATCATTTAATCATAAACATAAAATAAATAAATACTTAATTTCTTATTTCAATATGACATGTCACCTACACTAAATTAAATAAGTGTAATACATTAATATTTCAAAAAATAAACAATCATTTAATCATAAACATAAAATAAATAAATACTTAATTTCTTATTTCAATATAATTTATTAAATTCTCCAAATTATTATCACTGTTGAAAAATACATTAATAGTATGTGTGCATATTTTTATTTAGGTCATAACATGCATGACTTTTGCTATTGTATACCTTGGTGAAAGCTTCGCAGGATACTTAAGAATACACATGTTAGCATTGCAATTTTTTTAGCATATCTCAATGAGATACAGTTTTGTAATGCATTTCACAATCATTTTATTATACAATTTTGTTATTTTTGAATAATGTTATAAAAAGATTATTTCATCATTTATTATTACTTCGTGCACTACACAGGTTCTAACACTAGTTATTCATTAAAATTCTTATCAAATATCTACAACTAAGTTATTGGAGATAAAACATATATCCACAGTATGAACCGAACACCATCTTAATCTTAACAAATAACTAAACTGCTAGAAGCCCAAATGCACTTATATAAGCAATTGATATGCAGAAAATAATTCTTACTCAAAACTAAATTCTAAATATTAAATCAAAACCAAATAAAACAAATCCAAAATCCAATTTATCAACACATACCACAAAACAAAGACATACAATCCGAAAATGTTTGAATTTCTTCCCTTTAACGAAATGGGTCACAAAATTAACAGAATAAAGCACAATGTGGTCTCTGAACTTATTTAGCAGGATCAAAAAAGTCAGATTTGACTTTTTAGGTCAATTTAGCCCTTAAACTTATATAAAATGATTAAAAAGATCTAATTTCACTTTCTAGGTCAATTCAACCCCTGAACTTATTTAAAATGATTAATAAAAATCATATTGGACATTAATTTAATCTCTAATTCTTCATTGTACTTATAATGCAAAAATCATTATGTAGACATTTATTAAAACTGTAGTTAGAATCGAGCTGACTAATTTATTAAAAAATTAATTAATTATAAAATATAGAAAAATTGACTAATTTATTAAAAAATTAATTAATTATAAAATATAGAAAAATGATAAATGAAGTATATTGTATTTCTCTTTACCTTGATTGATGATTTTGAGTTTATAAAAATGTATTAATTTGAACATTTTAAAGTTAACCTCTACTACTGGGTTATTGCTTATGAAATTATTTTCATATTGAATAAATTAGTTATAATACATATTTATAAATTTATTATATTATAAGAAATGATGTTTTATAGATTTTAAATTTATATTTATAAGTGTTGAAAAAGTTTGATCTCAGTGTTCTTAGTGTAGGACAAAAAGAGACGAAAAGTTAATCATATTAAATCAAATCAATTATTATTTATAAAAATCAAAACAAGTTCAAAGGTTAAATTGACCTAAAAAGTGAATCGGATCTTTTTAATCATTTTATACAAATTTAAGAGCTAATCATCCATTCAGAAGACCATACGTCCCTGCGGTCTTTCCACTAGGCATGGCCACCGGTTCGGTTCTAACCAAAACCGAACCGGAACCGAACCGTACTGTAGACGAACCGGAACCGGACCGAAACCGGCGGTTCATAATTTTGAACCGGAACCGGCAGTTCAAGGGAGCGGTTTATAATTTTGAACTGGAACCGGCGTTCAAGGGCCGGTTAAGATTCATGTGAATGTTAAAATATGAACTAGAACCGGCTAGGAACCAGTAGTTTTGGTTCGGTTCGAACCGGATGCACAAAAAAATTGTAGCTTAAAATTTTTATAAAAAAATTTAAGTCACTTGATTTAATTGTAGTTGATTTGATTTATGGTGAAAAGAAATACAAATGTACAATGGACATAAGTTATAAAATGTGATGAAAAAAATACACATTTTTTGACTTAATTTATACAAAAAATGGTACATGAATAGTTGATTTTTTTTTTTTTTTAAAAATGCTTTCAAGTATACAAAAAAAGAGTGTAACGGATAGTTTTTGATATGATAGGTATTTTTTATTTATTTTTTTTAAATAAATTTTATTCATTTTTTAATCATTTATTTACTGTATTTACTAAATTATCCAAAAATATAGCTGTTATTTTTCTGTTATAAGGGACAATTTGGGAAACTAATAAATGAGAAATATGTACAAATATGATGAGTTGATGAGTTTTATTTCACAACCAATTATATCCTAACTCTTCTCGTATTCTCCATTATTTTTTCTATTGCTTTATTTTCCTTAATATTGGAATTATCTATTGTTTATTTTTTATTTTCTTACATCCAATTCCAAATTCTTTCTCTAATCTCACCAATTCTCCAAATTCTTTCTCTAATCTCAAATTTTTCCATTCATAAATTACTTCATTTTATTTTTTAAATATTTTTCTTAATATTTTGAAAATAATTAATTTTTCAACTTCATTCCATTTAATTTATATTCCCATTTATATTTTTTATATTATAAATTAGCAAATTTGAAAATTTTAATTAATTAATTAGTTCTAAAGTTTAGTCTAATAGATGTTTTCTTTAAAATTTATAATTAATTCATTTTATTTAATTAAATTTTTAAACATTTTTAAAATTATATTTATTTCATTGGAATTCGGCATACTCCAAACATATGAAATTTTTTTAGCATACTATTTGTGCGACCAGTGGAATAGTCAGAGGCACAATACATGATCAACCGTAATTTGGAAACCGTCGGTTTCACCGGAACCGTGCACTGAACCGCTTCCGGCCAGATCCAATAAGTATATCGTGCTCTCTCCGGAAACCGGCAGGTTTCAAGGATCGGTTCGGTTCAAAATTTTAAACATCTCGAACACCGTGCTGAACCGTGCCGGAACCGGAACCGGAGGTTCAAGGATCGGTTCCGGTTCAAAATTTTAAACATCTCGAACCGGCGGTTCACTTAACCGGCCATGCCTACTTTCCACTAGAGTTTAGGAAATTATACAATTTTTTTTATAATTATTATTTTTTATTCGTATATGTGTATGTATAAAATAAAATATGTCTCTTGAAAATGAGAGCTCAACAAGCGGAAGGAAATCCTCTGTAACGCTCGTGAATGTTGACTTGCTTCAACTATGGTCTTCTCTCTCTTTCTCAACATTCCTATAAATATTCCTCCATTTTTAGTACAGTCCTTCAAGCTTTCCCACTCTTATAGATGGCTAGCATTTCTCATTCTTGCTTATTTCTAATTTTGGTTCTCATTTTTCATTCTTCTTTCGTGTATAATCTAGCTGCTCAGAATGCTGCGGTCGGGTCAAAAAGAGAATCTCTAGAGATAATCATTGGCGGCGGCGGCGGCTATGCTCCTTCGCCTGAAAACGGAGAGTATGCACCTCCTCCTCAACCTGAAGAATGTCCACCACCCCCACCCCCACCTATATGCCCTGAACCAATCCCTCCTCCTCCGCCTCCACCTCCACGTCCACGTCCACCTTCTCCTCCTCCTCCGCCTTCTCCTTCGCCTCCGCCTCCGCCTTCTCCTTCTCCTCCGCCTCCACCTACAACTCTAACTCCAAACCTCATTAGAGATTATAATGCAATTCAGCAATTCAGCAAGCTAATTACTGACGATCCGCAGGGCATAAAAAAATCATGGGACCCGAAAAACAAGAATGTCTGTAAAGGATATAAAGGCTTTTTTTGTGATACAAGGCCTGACACCAGCGTGTTTTCAGTAGCAGCAGCAGACTTCAACGGCTATAATTTCAACGGCCCTAAGTTAAAAATCGAGGATTTCCTTGGTGAATTAAAAGACTTGGCAATCTTCCACGCCAACTCCAACAACTTCACAGGAAAAGTACCAAAAGGAGTTTCCATCGACAACATAAATTTCCTCTACGAGTTTGATATCAGCAATAACAAGTACTCCGACGAGTTTCCGTCACAAATTCTAAAAGCCACAAATTTAACCTTCTTAGATATCAGATTCAACAATTTTTTCGGTCCGGTCCCAGCAGGAGCCTTCAATTTAGACTTAGATGTACTTTTCCTCAACAACAACAAATTCAGCCAACAGCTTCCTGACAACATCGGAAATACGGCGGCGTTATATGTCACTTTCGCTAATAATATGTTTTCCGGCCCAATTCCGAAAAGCATTGGCAATGCTAAAAATTTAATTGAAGTGCTTTTCCTGAATAACAGTTTCACTGGGTGCTTGCCATATGAGATTGGAAACTTGAAGAAAGCTACTGTTTTTGATGTAAGCCGTAATAAGCTTACTGGTCCAATACCACATTCTTTTGGTTGTTTGCCTAAAATAGAGATTCTGAATTTAGCCACGAATGAATTTTATGGTCCGGTGCCGGAACTGGTTTGCGAGCTGAAAACGCTGCAAAATTTGTCATTATCAGGGAATTATTTTACGCAGGTTGGACCTGAGTGTAGGAAATTGATCAAGGCGAAGAGACTTGATGTTAGAAAGAATTGCATTTTGGATCTTCCAGATCAGAGATCAGCAGCTCAATGTCGAGATTTCTTTTCAAAGAACAGAAAATGTCCAAATGAAAAGTCATTGACCATTGTTCCTTGCCGGAAAAATGGGTTTCTGAGTTCAACAGCGACGGCAACGGAGCAATCAAAGGTTGCTGTTGCTCCACCTCCTAGATCGTATGATGCTCTTTCTCCAAATAATAAATTGCGATTTTAATTTTTAAGTTATTAGAAATATGTAAGAAGATCCATGTACTATATTCTATATTCTATAAGTTTTTATTAGAATTTGAATTTTCAAATAGATAATTCTGCAAATAATTTCAGTCATTGAGTTAATATATAATGAATTATTTTTCAATATAATCATCAAATTCTGCTTTCAAGCAAATGGATCTTATGCGTAATTACGTTAGTGTCATTTTATTTGCTTATTATTCTATTTTTCTTATATATTATTGGTATTTTGCAAGATGTATTGCACGTTGATTATACCCTTAATATATTTTATTTTTTATCTATATAATATTAATGCATAAGTTTTGTTTATGATAAAATAAATATAAAAGGTTAATTTATATTACACTTTGTCATACAAACTACTTGCAATGTTATTTCTTATGTACTTAATTTTATGTTTATATAATAAAGTGTTTTCAGAATAAAGTTCAACTACCTAATCTTTTAGTCCCTAATTTATAATACAGTTTTTTAAAATCTTAATAGGTGCCCTAAATCACCCACCTCTTCTTTGTCAATCTACATACGCCCTCTCTCCTTTACGGTGAACGTCTCACGCCCAAGTACATGGTAATACTTGCTGAGTGGAGAGCGGTGCCTAATTAGTGCTTCTGGGCGTCCAATAATAATACCTTATGTGGCATCACACGCACTAATACTCACCCGCACACCGACCCCTTCTCACAATACACCTCTCGCTTACGGTGTACACTTAATGAAGAGGGAAGTAACTGTTATATAACCTGACGAACCATGTTATGCGAGGTAGAACATCTAAAGTTCAACTTACTTGCAATGTTATTTCTTATGTACTTAATTTTATGTTTATATAATAAAGTGTTTTCAGAATAAAGTTCAACTACCTAATCTTTTAGTCCCTAATTTATAATACAGTTTTTTAAAATCTTAATAGGTGCCCTAAAAGAAAATCAAGTCATCACCTAATCTTCAACTCTCTACTTTCAACCTCAAATTAATATCTATATACAACTATAATGAAAAATAATAATAAATTATTTTTTACTCCTAGGTAAAAAAAAAAAGAAATGAGAAAATGATTTGAATTGATAATGAAAATCACTTTGGCTACAGTACTTATCCGGTACATTAAAGAAATGAATATATACACATATATACAAATTCTTGAAAACCAAAAAAGTGACTCAAACAGAAATATATAATTCTATCTTTTTTTAAAATTTTCTAAACACTATTTTTTTTTAAGTCAAACAAATTTAAGACGTAAGAAAAAAAAATATCAAGAAAATTAAAAATATTTAAAATATCAAGAAAATTAAAAATATTTAATAATCAATAGGTCATTATTTATTGCAAGGAAGATATACATCTCTTACTAAATTAAAATGATAATAGTTACAAATTATTCAGTAACGAAAAAAAATTATTATTAAGCATAAAGCTCTTTCAAAACTCACATAATAAAAAACGTTTCAACATATATAGATATATAAATATATCAATAAAATATTATATTTTTTTAAAATTAAAATTTTTAACTATTTACAGTTCCAGATTTAATTAGATAAATTTTATTTGAAAATTTACTTTTTAAAAAATATATCCAATCAAATCTTACAAAAACAAAGAAAAATATTAATAAAATAACATACTTTTTTTTATCTCTCTCTTAAATAAAATATCATAAATATTCTATTTGAAAATTTTTTTAAAATTATATCCAATCAAATCATACAAATATAAAAATATTAATAAAAAGAATATATTTTCTTTTTTTATCTATATCCTGAAAGAATTAAATATTTAATAAATAAAATATAAATATAAAAACTTTGTTAATGTTAATTATTATATGTAATTTAATTAAATAATTTTAGTAAAGATAAAACTTAAAATTTGAAAAACTTAAATTATATATATTTATTTATTTAAAAAATATTTTTGAAAAATAATTTTAGTAAAGATAAAACTTAAAATTTTGAAAAACTTAATTATATATATGTATTTATTTAAAAAATAATTTTTTGATTCATTAGGAAGCTTGAACGGCCGAAATAACATTGTGGGCTACACAATAATGAATAATCCTACACTCATCAAATCGGTAAAAATACTTGTAATCGATATGACTCAAACTAGAGATCTCTCATTTTTCATATAAGTGAGAAGATAATCAGACCACAAATAATTGATTTTAAAAATAATTTTTATAAATATATCCAATCAACTAATAAAATATAATTTCCTAATTAGCTATGACTAAAGTTATTTTAGGATATCCTAAATTCCATCAAGGATGCTATCGAAAATCTCATTATTTCTCTTTATTTTCACATTTATATATAATATAGATATAATGTCTATAAAGTTTATAAATTTATATATTTAAATAATTATTTTCATCAATAAAAAATGAAACTTATGCCTTAAATGATACAATTAAATAGAAATAAAAAAAAAAGCTCAATTTGTCTTCTAAATTTGAAAGTAATATCACTTACTACATAATTATCACCCTAGTATTCCATTGAATGACCAAAAAGACTAAGATAAAAAAATAATATAATAATAATTTTTGCCTTTAACAATAGTAACAATTTTATCACTTAAAAATATTAAACATTATTATTTTTACTTTTTTTGTCACAATTTGAGTTTTTTTTACTATTTAGTGCAAAATAGGGATGACAATTATAAAAAAAAAATGATTTTTAAATAAATTTTATATCCCAGGCAAATTGAATTTTATTCCAAAGAAAATCATTTCTAATTTTGTACATATATTTTATATTTATTTATAATTAAATAATAAATTTTAGTTCTTTTTCTTTTCTAAATATTAAAGGAGGAAAATTCAAATTTAGATTTATTATTATCAAAGTTTAATTTAAAGAAAAAGACAAAAGTTGACTCAAAGTCTACTGCCACTAAAAGCTCGTTAACATGAGAATGACGAAGACAGAAGAGTCATAAGGTGGGTCCTAAGTAACATGTGCTACTTAGTTCCTATTTCAGCACCTATCGCGGGAAGATTGATCAATGTCTTTTGATTTGGATTGTTGAAATAAAAATTTATAGATTCATTTCATTTATGAAATTTATAAAAGTTTACTATTTATATTTTAATTAATAAATAAATTTATGAATTTTAAAAATATTTTAAAAATAAAATTATTCTCTTACCAGATAAAAAATGAAAGATTCATAAAATATTTAAATTTAATAACTCAAATTTGAAAAGGAAAACCTACTAATATATGGTATACTGATCCATGGCATAAATACAAATGAAATAATATTTTTATTAAAAAAGGGACAAAATAATACAAAATCATGATAATTTTTCTCAAATTAATAGTTATATTCTCGTTGTCAATATTTATGTATTGTCTTAGAATAGTTTTTTTATCCATAAATTTCTGGTAAGTAATAAATATATTTTTTTAATTTCATTTTTATTTATATTATGTACAATAAATATTTCTATAATTTTTAAAATTATCTTTATTAAATTAATAATATGAAAATTAATGAAATTAATAAATATTTTATAAATTAATTATTTTGTTTAAAAATTTTTATACGACAAATATTTGTAACGGATCGAGTACGAAGCATAAGTAAACCTTTATCCCAAAATTTGTAAGTCTTGCCGACACCCATCAATCCCAAAATTATGTGCCCGAGCCAGACGGACTAGTAGCCTAGAAAGAGACATGCAACGTCCAGCTGGATGCAACTGCAATTTCTATTCTTGACAAGACATAATAACGGCAATGTAATTATTTTCCTATTCGTTGGTATATACTTTCAGAGAGCAACAAGACCCATGTCATTGATTGTCTTGAAAACGAAGCTAAAAGCTCTGCAGATCAACACGTTAATGTTCAGTTTCAGTATGCTCATATCGAGCCGCAGGCAGTTCCACTTTTTCCGCTTGACTCAGTTGACGCGGTTTTGTTACTCTGCAACTCGACTACATTGTCTTTCTTGAGAGAAATGATATTGGTTGATTCAAACACTTCTACGATTATCTCGTATACCTGCGAGTAGCGAGTATCGACCCAAAGGTGAAATTGATAGTAGTAATTGGATTCCATCAAGCACCCATGATCAAACATTTTATATTGTTACTTAACCGAAGATCTATATTTATATCCTACTTACATTAGTTACGACCAGTAATTTTATTATTTATATTCATCTTAACTCATTTATAATTACATATATTTTTGATAAATAATATTAAATGAGACGAGTATTTTAAAATACATATTTTGCTTTTGTCCCGCTAAGGACACCTTTTGCAAGCAAATAGGAGGAGAGGTTTTAATCCGCAGCCTCTGGGTTTAAGGGCCTTATCCTTGAGCCAAGGATCATTTAAATACATGAATCTGAATGATATACTTTATGAATAAAAATATTAAAATTTTCACATTCATTAAAATAGAAATTTTAGTAAAAATATCATTTGTTACCTGGGTTCACAAAATTATTGGTGTGCATTGACTATGAGAATTTGGACCCCTTCTTAAAAATCATCCTGAATTTTTTTTCCTAAAAAAAAAAAATTCTGACATTAATTTAATAGTTTCGTGCTGAAAGTTATTTTGAGACCAAACTAATTTTTTGATTTAAATCCAAGTTCCTGCCCCATCTTATCGCATCATGAAAATCAAATATTTTCAGCCTATTTTTCTCCTAAAATTCTAAGTGCCAAAATCTCAAATCATGTCAATAAAAATCACTTTCATTCTTTTTATTTTTAATTTTTTTATGATATCAGTCACTTGTTGATATATTAATAATAATATGTATTTTAAAATAAAAACATACCAATTAACTAAATAAAATCTTCGATCTAGATTTTTTTTTCTGTATTATTTTACCATATGTGTTAAGTAATTTTTTCTAAATAAAATTATTTCTATTAAACAAAAAAATAGAAAGATCAATTTATACGAAATAAGATATTAACTATAATTAATATGATTACTGATTATGCTTAATGATGTATTAAAATTCATAAAATCTATTTAAAATTAAATTGTACAAATCCTTGAATTATTTTATTTTATTATACTTAATACTCTTGTTAACTAGAAAATATCAATTAACAAATTTTCTATTATGATTTTAGCGGTGGA